TTATGTGAGACTTGACCTGTTGACCTTTTGAAAAAATGTGTTGACCTTAGAGAAAAATTAAAAATTCTTAACGAATATAATAGCACAAATTATTCGAATCATTTTTTACCAAATATGAAGAAAATCGATTGGGGATTCTTGAAATGCGAGCTATTTAAAAATAGTGATGGATGAACCAAATTTGTAACTTGACCTAATGTCATTTTGAGGTCAAGGAGTACGGGTAGGGCCTAGCGCTTCAGGATGACCCAAAAGCTTACCCAGGGGATTGTCCATGCGAAGTTTGACTGCTGTGGGCCTAATGGTTGCTTCACAATCGAGGGAGAAAGTTGGCAAGTTTTGTCAAAAAAGGTAGTGCTTTCCCCCATACCATTAGACGGAGGGGGACGTGGAAATTTTAAAAACTGTCTAAATCGAATAGTTCGGACCCGCTGAGCAGGTTTTTGAGCTAAAACTGCAGAAAATAAAATACGACCTTTTTTACCGGCGATAGCTGATGGAAATCGTCCAAGATTAAAATAATCTTTATTGGACAAAAATTGGACTAGAACATGTTCGAAGGGGTACACGATACCGACGTCCATCAAGCACACAATTTCGGAGCAATGAGACACCCTCAATTTTTAAAAATTTTCCACAGGTTTTATTCCGAATTCTGTAATGGTTCCACGGGAAAGAAACCCCTCCAAGTAGTCAATATTTACAATAAAGTTTTCTGTTTTTATTTCAAATTCCCGTATTCATTTAATTTTACTACTGAACGATTTCAAATCAATGGGGGAAAAAATTTGTTATATTCTTTCTATTTAGCGGAACTAGTCATCCTTATCTCCATAGTTTTAATCATCCTTGAGCTGATCAACTTGGCATATTCAGAAAATGTTTCGATTCTACCTGTCGTTATGCTTCTCGTTTCATTCATCTACTTAACATTCGACTTCATTTGTGCGGTAGCAATTAGCATCGTGAAGCGTGAAATTGTCGCCTTCTACAACGACGTCATACGTCAAATCGAGCTACTGGAAGCAGGTAGGTTCCTTAGAAGGTTTAAAACCCCGTCTAAAGACAGTTTTTATACGTTAATTTCAACTGATTGTTATGGATGAATGATGCAAATAATTTGTGCACCCTCCAAGAAATTATGTTCCTTGGTGTTGAGGGAGCAGACCTACTACCCGTAGATAAGTCCTCACTTAAAAATTGCCGAGTGGAATGCGGTGTATGACTTTATAACTCTTCTCGTGACTTATGATTCTTGCGATTCTTTACTTTAAAATCAAAGCTGGAACTACTAAAGCCAATTACATTTACTAAACCACTTTATTTAATTAGAATCAATTAATTCGTTGGAACATTAATTTTACACGACTTCTCATGACCAACTCAAACCCAAGAATAATCCGTAAAAATATTCACTCACACAGCAACAAAAAAATAGTGGCCCAAACCCAAAAAGAACAGGAAAACTCAAAATTACGGGGTTATGAGACACTCAATTACAATACAAAGAAATAAAGGCATTTTCATACAACTACAAAATATCATTACTTATGAAACCTTATACTAAATTCTACATCCTCCACCTTTTCTTTCGTGAGGAAACGAACAAAAGAAAACCAGATAATTTTACAAACAACTACATGAATTAAAACTAACTTTTGACACTTTAATTCACTGGTCTTCTCACTTTACGTCCAAATCGGGTAGCTATCCCCGGCTCAGTTTCTTTCAACTTTTGCACCGCAGACTCCTGGTCCAATCTGGCAGTCTTCGTGACCTCTGGTGTCACTGCTGGCAATTCCTTCGATGATGAGATCTCCAATGGATAAAGACGTTGAATAGGTCGCAGGAACATTCCTCCCATCGTCTTAACTTTCGCCACCCGGGCTTGATCCTTTCCGAGGAACTCCACAATTCTTCCCATTGGCCAGTCCAAACGCTTCTTATTATCCGCACCGATGAGAACAAGATCTCCAACTTCCAACTTATGCTCTTTCGTCATCTTGCCCTTATGGACCAAAAGTGCAAGATATTCCTTTCGGAAACGATTTCGCAGTTGCACTCGCAACGTCTTCAGTTTTTCATACTGCCTCCTCAGACCACTCTCATCCAAAACCGCTACTTCCGGAAATTCCGCCACAGTTATATCTTGAATAAACATAGCCAGTGTTAGTGGGATGAGGTCGTCTTGGTCCTCATTTACAAAGGTTAAGGGTCTTCCGTTCACGACAGCTTCCACTTCGCAAAGACATGTGAGAAGCTGATCGTAGTTCAATTTCTTATGACCCAGGACACGTTTCAATAAATCTTTAACATTTCTGATCAGCCGCTCCCAAAATCCTCCCCACCAGCTTGCTGTAGGGGGGTTGAACAGCCACTGAATCCTTCTAACTTGGGAATCGGCTTCAATCCTCTTCCAATCCAATTTTCGGAACAAATTGTCCGCTCCGACAAAGTTCGTCCCGTTGTCGCTGTAGATTGTGGTGGGTCGACCACGTCTACTCACGAAGCGAAACAACGCCAACAAAAACGAATCAGTGCTGATCGATGTCACCAACTCCAGATGGATTGCATTTTCATCCAGCTTTTCGGTATGCGCTGGCCAATTTTCAGCCGGACCCTTAAGCCAATCTGGTCCCTCCCACCAACAAGATTCCACTAATTTCGACGGCGAACAACCACGCGACAGCAAATCTGCAGGGTTAATTCCACCTGGAACATGGGACCACTGCTTCGGCTGACTTAAGATGCAAATCTCCTTGACTCTGTTCCCAACAAAAGTACCCCACTCGTCGTTACGCCGAATCCAAGCGATGGCAGTGGTCGAATCACTCCAAAAATAAGTGGGCACATCCTCCATAGATAAGGCTTTCTTGACTGATGCTGTTAAACGACTTGCAATTGTACAACCAAGTAATTCAAGTCGAGGGATTGTGACCTTCTTGATGGGGGCAACTCTTGATTTTGCCTGAATCAGTTGCACTGATACTTCGTCCCCCAGGTCCACACGAAGAAAGACAATCGCAGCGTATGCAAACTGACTAGCATCCGAAAATGTGTGGATTTGACATCTCTCCTGACGAGATGCACAAACATGTCGAGGAATGTGAATGTTGTCCAAATCAGGGACCTCGCTCCACCATTCCAAGAACTCCTTCTTCACATCTTCTTCCAGTTCTGCATCCCACGATGACTTCTCCTTCCATATTTTCTGCAGTAATAACTTTGGGATCAATGTCGCAGGGCTGAGAAATCCCAACGGGTCATAAATCTTCTGCACTTGCGACAGCACCACACGTTTCGAAATTCTTACTGGCAGCTCTTCACGTGGAATCTCAACCTTCAAAATATCTTCATCTTATTCCACTTGAGCCCCAGCACAGTTGTCAAAGGTTGGGACGATCCTTCCGCAGAACTGACCTCCCACTGGCGAAGATCCATCTTGGCATCCTCCAAAAGATGAACTGACTTCTCCTTAAATTCTTCATATTCTTCCATAGTATCCACGGACGTCACACAGTTGTCGACGTAGAGAGATTGGAGTAGTTTTAACGCCACAGCAGAATATTCTCGACTTGCACACTTCAAATGATATTCTATTACTGCTGCAAGTAGAAACGGGCTACAATTAACTCCAAATACTACTCTTGAATGCCTTAGCACCTTGAATTCTTTTCTCCCTGGACTTTCCCACCAGAGAAAACGAAGAAAGTCACGGTCCGCAGGATCCACCGCGATCATCTGGAAAGCCTTGCGAATATCCGAGATGACTCCAATTCTTCTTTCCCGGAACCGCATTAAAATCGATGGAATTAACTCCAATAAATTCGGGCCTTTTTGCAAACATTCATTTAGCGATGGATTTCTTGACATCTTGCACGATGCGTCGAAAACTGGGCGCACGGGCGTGGTCAAACTGTCCGGTTTGAAGACCGGGCGATGAGGCAGGTAGTGGACTAATTTTCCATTTTCTTGCAAGTCCTCCCCACTCACCTCCTCGACGATCCCTTCTTCTATCCACTGCTTAAAAATTCCATCATAGACCTCATATTGATCTGCAGCTTTCAATTTTGTTGTTGCTGCCATCAGCCGCTTCTCCGCCACCATTCTATTACTTGGAATCGGGGGCGCCTCACCAATCCAGGGCAATTTCACCGAGTAGCGACCATCATCGGTTCTTGTTACCGTATTCAAGAAATGCTTTTTAGTTTCCAATTCTTGATCTTCTTTATTCTTTACATCGACAGGATCCATAATTCCTAAAGTCTCCAGACTCCAAAGTTCCGACACGGACGACTGGCAAGACATAAGGGCGCTGGACAAGTGTAACATTGCTTTTGAATGATAACCCGCTGGTAATTTTCCACTCAAGGTCCATCCGAAGACTGACTCCATAGCGGTCAGCCCACACGCCAATTGAACAACTCTTCCTGTCATTAGTTGCCCAAAATAGTCATTTCCCACGAGGACTTCAATTTCTGGATTCTGTGACTTCATGTCACTCAGCATTATCCGGTTCTGTGCTAATTCTTCTAACCACGGACCTTTTGGGATTCTGCGAAGTCGGCCACAAATTTCTGGTTCGTCCAAGACTTCCAAATCTCGTTGAGTATTTCCGTCCGGGCTGGATAATGTTACACGGAGTCGGTTGTGTCGCCGTCTTTCAGTTAACTGGCCGCCGAAGAGAACCTTTCTTGACCATACTTCCCCTACCGGCTCCAATCTTAATGCTTCTGCTGTGTCGCGACGAACACTTGACCCTTGACTCCCGTTATCAAATACAAGACGCGCCACACGGTATCTGCTCTTATCATTGTTGTAGATCCGAACTAGCAGCGTTTGTAATAAGACGTCCCCTGCACATTCATGGCTTGTCATTGCTGATGGGGTACCACCTCTTATTTCTTCTCTGTCGACCGGTCTCGCCTCCTGCTCTTGGGCCTTCTGGGCGACTTCCGGACACATTACCACCACATGTTGTCTTGAACAAATGATGCACTTTAACTTTGCTTTACAGCTGCTTGAAAAAGACCGGACCTTAAGCACTTATAGCAACACTTTCTGTCCCTCACTCTGCCATTCTTCTCTTTCATGGTCATCTGAGGTCCTCGCCAACAGTCAACACTGGCGTGATTCTTGTCACAAAAAATACAAGTTGAACTCTGCCCACTGAATAACCCAGCTGCTGTTGCGACGTCGCTCTTGTGATACCCTTCACCGCGATGATTATCTTTCTTCTTGTCCTTTTCCGGCTGTTTCTGCGATGGGATGACGAATGTGAGCCTCTGAGCTCCCTTAACTTCCGCGCGGATGAACTTCATGAGACAAGTCAGTCTCTCCTCCACCGGCTTAATTTCTTCGTCTCCATATCCGGACAAGGCACTTCTCTGCCACACTTTCACTAATTCAATTGGCAGTCCTGATTCAATCATTGGATAGAGGAACGCTGCACTTTCTTTAAATGTCACTCCAAGGGACTCGAGACCTCTCAAATTGGACTCGAGATCATCATACATACTCGCCAATGAGATATTATCATTCTTCTTTCCAGCATTAGAGATGACCAATTGTTGCAGCTTCCTTACATACACCTCAATGAGTAGCACTTTGTCGCCAAACCTGTCCTGCATAGCCTCGATAACTTTGGGATAATTCTTTGCAGACTGTGGCCAACTTTCAACAAGTTTTGCAGCTTTGGAGCCAGGAACCATTGATTGAACAAGATTCTGAAATTTGTCACAATCGTGGAGTTCTTCATCTAAATGTATCTTCTCGAATTGTGACCAAAAACTAATCCATTCCGTCACTTCGCCTGCAAACTTCTTAATTTCAATTTTGGGCAGCTTGTAAGTCCGATTCTTTTTTGACGTAGTCGACTGCGACGACGATCCGGCTTCGGATTCCGACAGGACCCCAGGCAGGTGAAAAACGCGACGCACTTTGACACAAAAGTCCGACCACTCATCCCGGTACTTATCCATGCTGTCGTACTCTGCTTGGTACTCTTCTTCCGAACACTTATCTGCCAGCATCTTAGCAAGAATCTTGTCATCAGATAACTGCAGGTTTTCTATCGCCACCTTCATCCGTTCCATTTTCACCTCGACCTCCTCCTCATCTGGATTGTCAGAATCCAAAATGATCTTCAATTCGTTGAGTGTCCGAGTGAACTTCCTGCGAAACGGAGTCCTTGTAGCAAATCTTCTCCTTCAAATCTTCCATGACGAAATCTCAGGAAAATATAAAATCCAACAAATACCAAATATTAATATTCAAGTAAGTAACAGCAATTAAAACTGGAATTCTCCAACCTAGGTAGGCTGCGCTTAGGGCCGCAGCAAACCGCTCATTCGGTTCTTCTTATAAATTAACTCCTGGTTGGTCTCTATTGCTCCACCCACTCGGTCTTCTCAAAAGGATGAACGACGGGCAATACGGCAGCAACGTGAATCTTTTCCTCTTCTTTGACCTTGGCACAAGTCCGTCTTTTAAGGCAGGAACCACTAACACCACACTACTCTCGACAATCACGTCGAGGTCACCAAAATGTTGAGGGAGCAGACCGAAAATAGTGGCCCAAACCCAAAAAGAACAGGAAAACTCAAAATTACGGGGTTATGAGACACTCAATTACAATACAAAGAAATAAAGGCATTTTCATACAACTACAAAATATCATTACTTATGAAACCTTATACTAAATTCTACACTTGGTGTAAACGGTTCTAAATTAGGTAAAGCATACTAAATCCAGACATTTGGGAATGAATTTCATCATCAAATAAAACTTCGCAAACGCGCATTCGGAAGTAGCTTCAGACATACTTCACCAAAACCAGTCCCACCTGATTGGGGGAACACTTTATTTCACTGTGTTTCAACTATACATTCAACTTTTGCAAAAATATCATTTTGCCCCGACCACACACCGTGGCGACGAGGGGGGTGGTCCGGTGGCCCCCAAAAGTAGGATCCTCCCCCTGGGGTCATATGTATGATGCCGCAGACCGATTTCTATTATCTCGATCCGCTCTCCCCGTAATCCTGCTGACAGACGGACAGACAGACAGACAAACAGACAAACAGACGGACAGACAGACAGACGGACAGACAGACAGACGGACAGACAGACAGACGGACAGACAGACAGACGGACAGACAGACAGACGGACAGACAGACAGACAGACGGACAGACACAGACGGACAGACGGACAGACAGACAGACGGACGGACAGACGGACAAAGTCTTCGCATAAAGTAGCTGAAGCTACTTAATCATTAGCCTTATTTTAAGAATTTTTCTAATGTGTAGTATGTAATTCACTTACATACTACATCCAAAATTGAATTAATTAATAATTATCACTGATCTTTAAAATTCTTGTTTGAATTTTTACCGTTTAAGAACAATATATGTACAAACGTCCAATTTGAACACATGAAGAGATTAATTGATTTGTTATCTGGCTTTTACACAGAACTTCCTCATCCACTTGGGCAGAAATGGGATAAGTTGACCCTCATTTTATCAACATTTATAATCATCTCTGGCACTGTGCCCTTCTTGTATGGCATCTTCCTAGCACACATGACACTTCACGACCACTTTTCCTACTTTGAGTTCACTCTAGCGAATGCAATGTGTCCTCTGGATACAAATTTTGCCTGTAGATTTATCACCTTCATACTACTGGCGACGCACTATGGCTATCTTGCTTATCATAGTACTGCCTGCCTCATCGGGGCGGTAATTAATAGCGCGGTGGTTTTAAACATGGTAATTTATTCGCTAAACAATTTGGCGCGAATGAGTCCCAGCATCCATTCGTTCAGAATATATCAGAGATTTTACATACTGAACAAAACCATGGAGACAATGTCCACCCTTTTGGCGTCCTTATGGATCTCATTCGGATTTATATTTTCTGTCACGTGCAATTTCGTAAGTGTTCGAATGTACCGCGTAATTCCGATGCCATTCTACCTCGTGTTTCCTGTTGGGTCGCTCGGAGCCACGGTGGCAATTATGGTTCTGTTTCCGTACGGGATCGCGTGCCATGACGTTAGTAGTGAATTGTTGGAGGGGTGGAGAATGAAGCTAAAAATGAAGCGGGGCAGTACCAGTATGAGAGACCTGGTGAAACTGGGCGATGCCTTAAGACCTGTCGGGATCAGGGTGGGAAGTGGTGAATTTAGTTTTTTTATGATAAAAAACTCCACAAAGTCCAAATACTACGTCAGTGTTACGGATTACACGATTAATGCCTTACTATCTTAAATACACAGCTCCACGTGTCTGCCTAACTTAAAATTTGGCGATTAGATTGCTTAATGAATTGATAGAATTTGTTTGTTTACAAGTCTTGTTTGAGTTGCTTAAGAATTTGGAAATATGTAGGATTTACAAGTACTTCTTTGTTCCGGAGGATGGACTTCTGTCGTTGAACTGTCTATTAATTGGGAACATGACGTGGAGCATGGCGATTTGAAAGGTGTGGGAAGCCGAGGAGAGTGTTCGTCAAAGCAAGCATTGCAAATTCAATGACTGTTTGTAATTTAGGCAAGAACAAGTACTCCGCGTCAGTGTAATTCTGGAGGAATACTTAAATCTATTTAAATTTTAAGATCAATAAAGATTGCTAATAATAATTCACAACCTGAAAAATGTTGAATCTATTGAAATATATAAATGTTTGTTAAGTTCAATCCTAAGCAGTTATGAAAATACCACACGTTGGTAGCTAAAAAAGATTGAAAAATTCAATTAGATACATAATCTGTAATTCTAAATTGATTTTGGTTATTTTGGATAATCCGTCGAACGAATCTATTTAAAGATAAATTTGGTAAAAACTAATTTTCAAGTTGTGTATAAACTCGAGTCAGGAGGAACCCACGATGCCCGTCAACATGTCTACGTATAGGGTTTTCGATAATTGCCAATAACCAATCCGATTCCCCACCATAAAATTGTACATAAAATAATTAAACTTAATCGCTTTAATTGCTTTCCAAAGTTTATTAAACATTAAACCTTAATCATAGTTATACAAGTCATCCAGTTAAGGCATACAGTTTAATTTACTTGAAACAAATTACAAATTTATGCTACGTTAAACGAGACATGCTAAAATGGTTGTCACTAATAATTCAAGTCGCAATCACAAATTTTTTGCCGGGACGACAAGCGAATCAATTTCAAATGGCGATAAGTAAATATCTATCTGAAGTATGATTACTTTTCATTAATTTTCCTCCACGGGACAATTGTCCCGTTAGAATAAATTAAATGTAGAGGCATTCGTGTATCAAAGGCGTGCAAAATTTAAGATATAAAACAGGAAATACACGGGAAGATAGACTCTAAAGCAATGCGCAATCACAAATTGATCTTAATTTTACTTGTAGAGAATTGCATAATTTCTTACATGCATTAATCTATCGACATGGCACATAATGACGAACATTTAGTAACCTTTTGGTAATGACAAATTTACCACACTATTACCAATCCGGTAGAAAATTGCTACTAAATTAGTGTAACAGGATGGAGTGTATCTGGCATCTGGTTGGATTTTTTACGCTTTATGTGCACGCACCGATGAAGGGTTTTCTAAATGGATAGAAAAGATTAGGACATTCCTCATACATACAAAGAAATTGGATTTGTAACATCGTAGAATTTACGTACGTGTTCATGCTACACGTAAATTTGCGCTCCACGTTAAGGGCAATATTGTCTGGAAATTATCCTAAAGATTAGGATAACTGTCATAAATACATATTCCAGACAGAAATTATCAGAGCAATGAGACTGGCTTATGGTTTTAAACTTTTCCAAAAACTTTCCAACTACTATTCCAAATTCCGACAGGACTACACGGGAACAAAACCCTTCCAAGTTTTTAAAACTTTCGGCAAAGTTTTCTGCTTCCATTTCAAATTCCCGTATTCATACAATTCATCCACCCAAAGATTCTATACCAACGGGGGAAAAGATTTGTTATATTCGTTCTATTTTGCGGAACTGGTCGTTATCATCTCCACAACTTTAATTCTTCTTGAGCTGATTAACCTTGCATATGCAGAAAATGTCGCAATTCTACCAGTCGTTCTGCTCCTGATTTCATTCATTTTGTTAGCATTCGATTTTATTATTGCAGTGGCAATTTCCTTCGCGAAACAAGAACATGTCGCGTTCTGCAACGACTTTATACGTCAAGTCGAGCAATTGGGAAAATGTGAGTCTAACAATGCGATGGTGTGCAGTATTGGCCTCCAATTTGGTTGAAATTTTAAAATTATGTATGCGGTGCAAATAAATGTGTACAAATAACGTTTCTTGAGGTTTTTCTTCTGCGATGGTCGGAATTAGTCATATTTCATGTCAAATTTGAAAAATGGGAGAATTTAGCCTTTGAGGGGAATAGAAAGGGGGGTTTGTTTCCTCGGTTTGGTAAAAATTTCCCATTTTATCAATTTTGACCACGAATATTGTAATAAATTTCGACCGTCACACAAACTGGCTGAGAAAACGTTGTATTGACATGGACCATATAATTTTAAAATTTCAACAAATCCGGAATGTTACACTTCCGGATTTTACACTCCTTTCCGAAGCCATTGCAGTGTAAAATTTACAGTGTAAATTGAAATTACGAGTACAATTGATTTTCAGAAGTATTATTTAAAATTTTCCTGCATATTTATGTAACAGCGTTCATTCTGAACGATCTCGATTTGTAACCTTCATAAAGTGATCAATTCTTATAATCGTCTATTTTATAGTGTTTCCACCTTCTGAAAAACAATGGGATACGTTGGCCATCATTCTATCCATTTTTATCATCATCTCTGCCACCCTGCCCGTCCTGTACGGCCCCTTCGTCGCAATGATGACCATCATCGACAAATTTTCTCACCTTGAATTTACTCTGGCCAACACAATCTGTCCCCTGGAAACTTATTTCTTCTGCAGATTTATCACCTTTCTGGTATTAACGACATATTACGGCTATCTTGCCTTTCACGGTGCTGCCACCCTGGTCGGGGCGGTGCTTAATGGTGCTGTGGTTTTAAATATGCTGATCAACT